ATACGTGAGCTGCCGTCCAGGTAGTCTGAAACTTGTTGTCATACCGCATGGGTGGCTTTTTCTTCGGTGGTGTTTTCATAACGGATTAATAGAGCGTGAAGGCGTAACAACAATGAAACTATCAACAGACTTGGATTTGGCGCGACACAACAACAATGAGCGTACTCACTGTAATAACTTATTCTATTGGATGTTACTGACGGCGTTAGCCAATCGCCGGCGAGATAACAACCCACACCCTAGCAGGGGCAGATAATCATATGTAGAGCATGTACAGTGCGGCGGGCCGAGCAGGCGCGCGTAATTACACGCCCCGCGGCGATGGCAGATGTAGTAGAGAGAATCGTTATGCGGAAAACCGCATCCCCGTTTTTCTTGTAACTGAATATTTTGCAATGCGGTAGGAATAGTATTAAAAGCGGTAGGCGGTAGAAGTCTTCAAAAAGCGGTAGTCTACCGCGTAAAGCGGTAGGGTTGGCGTGCATGTTAATGTTTTTGAACGTGGAATGTGAAAAAAAAGAACAAATGTAAAAAAAAATGTGTCAGGATCTGTAGAATGTTCCGACCAAGTTTGAGAGGATCCGTTGAGCGGTGCGGAAACGTATAGCCGGACACACACACACACACCCACACACACACAGACAGAAAATCCCCAATTTATAGTAAGATTAGTATCGCCCCCTACATGCGGGAAAGTGCGTAACTGTTGTTCGTAGTAATAAGGAGTGGTACGATAGCTCACGTATCGAAGAAACGACCAACTCACACCTAAAGGTGGTAGTCGGGATGAAACATTAATAAATTAGTATTTTAAATCTATTCTTTCCTTGAATGCATATATATTTTCGTCAAAAACTTTCTCTGATATCATCATTCGGTTGTAGCTTATCGCTGGTAGTGTGTGGCTTTTAGCCTAACAAATAACGTACCTTTAATCGATAAATTTAATTCTAATTAGAAATTCAGCTTTCGTTCGTTCGTTTGTTTTAAGGGTCTACTAGCTAGATTGGGGTTTCTAACTCAATGAGGTTAGAAGACATTTGAGGGTAACTGATGAGAATTGTATTGCATGAGAACGATCAGAACGATAATTATTAGTAAGGGAGGGATGGACGGCAGAAATAACGAGCGGGAGAAAGAGAGAGAGAGAGAGCGGGGTCTAAAACACTAGAGAGGGACAAAAAGGGGGATAGAAAAAGAGAAGGCAGTAAGTTCAAACGAAGAAGATAGCAAGAGCATAGACGGAGCAAGTGTATTAATAGATGGAAAGAGAGACGAGAGAGGTAAAATGCGCGTGCGTGCGTGCGCGTGCATGACAGAGCGAGAAAGAGAGAGAACGAGAAAGAGAGAGAAGAGGGGGGAGTAGGACATAAATAGGACACGGCGTTGGCCTCGGCCAATAATAATATAAATGTAGGCAGAACTGTGTTAATCTACGATCCACTGCCCTGACCATGGTTTGCCAAGTTATTTTGGAGGCACTAGGAATGAGTTCAAGATTATCCCTATAAATTTGATCGCAACATCACGCCCTGGGTTACCCGCTATGATAATGTACATAAAAAACGCGCCCCTACGTCGGCCGCGGTTGACTGCCAAGATAATATTCTTCGGCCGTTCATATACGTTCAAAGTGGAGACGGGCGGGCCGCCAGCACGTGTGCTTGGTAAAATCCGATCTATAATATCACTTTGCTCCCAAGGGGGGTTATCGTTGGGTTAACCATGGGTTCCGCGCTATGCTAATGTACATGAAAAACGCGTTCCTACGTCGGTCACCGTTGACTGCCAAGAGAATTTTCTTCCGACGTTCTTTAACGTTCAAACTGGAGACGGGCGGGCCAACAGCACGTATGCATGGTAAAACCCAATCTATCATATTCACTTTATTCGCAGCATAACGCCCTGGCTTCCGCGCTATGCTAATGCACATGAAAAACGCGCTCCTACGCCGGCCGCCGTTAACTGCCAAGAGAATTGTCTTCGGCCGTTCTTTTGCATTCAAAGTGGAGCTGAGCGGGCCAACAGCACGAGTGCTTAGTAATATCATATCTAAAATATTCATTTTGCTCGTAGCATCTCGCCCTGGGCTCCCCGCGATGCCTATATTAATGCACAAGAAGAAGGCGCTCGTACGTCGGTCACCGTTGCTTGCCAAGAGAATATTCTTTGCCCGTTCTTTTGCGTTCAAACTGGAGCCGGGCGGGCCAACAGCACGAGTGCTTAGTAAAACCTAATATATAGTATTCACTTTGCTCGCAGAATCTCGGCCTGGTTTCTCCGCTATGCCTGTATTAATGTACAAGAAGATGGCGCTCGTGCGTCGGTCACCGTTGATTGCAAAGAGAATTTTTTTCGGCCATTCTTACACGTTCAAAGTGGAGACGGGCGGGCCGACAGTACATGTGCTTGGTAAAATCCCATCTACATGCTTTACTTTGCTTGCAGCATCACGCCACGATTCCCAGCCTATGCTAATGTTCATGAAAATGGCGCTCCGACATCGGTTGCCGTTGACTGCCAATATAATTGTCTTCGGCCGTTCTTATACGTTCAAACCGGAGCGGGGCATGCTGACAGCACGTGTGCTTAGTAAAATCCTGTCTATAATATTCACTTTGCTCGCAGCTTCACGCCCTGGGTTCCCCGCTATGCCGATATTAATGTACGTGCAAATGGCGCTCGTGCGTCGGTCACCGTTGACGGTCAAGAGAATTTTCTTCTGCCGTTCTCATACGTTCAAACTAGTCGCAGGCGGGCCGACGGCACGTGTACATAGTAAAATCTGATCTACATGCTTCACTTTGCTCGCAGCATCGCGCCACGATTCCCAGCCTATGCTAATGTTCATGAAAATGACGCTCCGACGTCGGTCGCCGTTGACTGCCAAGATCAATATCCGTTATACTAGCATAGGTTTATATGATAACATTCCATCAGTTGACATCATTTAAGAAACAGGAGGAAGACCTTGCATGTAAGGTCCCCGCTGCGTATACCAGCCAGTACACAATGTGGCTACGTTAGTGTGTTAGCGCATGCGCTATATCTCACCAGAGGAGTTACATTTTGTGATGAATATGCAATTAAAATGGTTAGGGGGTATCTCCGCATAGATTTTCCTAATAAACTTTTATCAGTAGAACTGTGTTTATATTTAGGAGAGCGCTCTAGCATGTAGGGTACAAAACACCTACTTTATGCCTTCGCGTCCTACCCCTTGCCTCCCCTGTTCCTCGCTCAGCCTCCTTCTTCGTCTACCGCCCCAGCTATCTTCCCTGCCGGATTTCCGCAGTCTCCCATCCCCTCTCCTCCTGAGCAAGCTATATTATGAAGTTTGCCTCAGACGGCCCTGCACGCCTAACGCGGTGCGCGCGCATGCGCAATATCTCCCGAGAGAAATGGTATTTTGCAAAGATTATTCATTTAAAATAAAGAGGAGTTATCCTAGCATAGATTTATATAATAACATTCTATCAGTAGACATCACTTAAGAAATGGGAGGAAGACCTTGCATGTAAGGTCACCGCGGCGTATACCAGCCAGTACACAATCTGGCTACGTTAGTGTGTTA